AAATCCTTGGTGAGTGAAGCCAAGGTAGAGGACTAGGCTCCAAGTGGTTGGACCGAACCTCTATAAAATCATTATGCAAGCTCTTCTTCTCCACTCTTTCTTTAATTTTTGTTTGGTGGTTGCAAAGAGGTGAAAATTCTCCAACTCCAATTCACCCTCCCTCTTGGAGTGCATTGAGTCAACAAGAGAAGCAACTATGGTACAGTTTTTGCATGGTTTTAATCGTGATATAGCTAATGTGGTGGAGTTGCAGCATTTTGTGGAATTTGAAGATATGTTGCATATGGCGATGAAAGTAGAAAGGAAACTTAAGCGCAAAGGAACCACCACCAGAAATGGGCAAAATTCCGGTTCCTCATCTTCTTAAAAACTGAATTGGAGCAAAAAGGAAGAAAATTCTACTTTTAAGCCTAAAATGGTAGCATCTAAGTCAAAAGAAGTTGGCAGCAATGAGAAGAGTAAAATTGACAATACATAAGGTAGAAACTGAGACAATAAGTGTTTTCGATGCTTGGGAAATGGTCATGCTGCATCGCAATGTCCTAATAAGCACTCAATGATCTTGAGAGAGGATAGAGAAGTTGAAACCAAGGGTGAATCTGATGATGACTCTATGCCACCATTAGAAGATGCTGATGATGGCGTGGAATATGTCGTTGATGGAGAACTACTTGTCACCAGACGAGCTTTGAATGTGCAAGCCAAAGAAGATGATGAAGTGCAACGTGACAACATATTTCAAACAAGGTGCCACATAAAAAATAAGGTGATGTAAATCCAAGTTTGACTTTAAAAGATTCAATTCAAGTTCCTGTTGGATCAATTACAAAGGCTCGATCTAAGAAGTTCAAGGAAGCGCTTAACGAGCTGATTCGAGAAATATAGACTCAAGTAAATTTGTGGAGGCCCATTGAGGGAAGTCCATGTGAGCCTTATAATTACATCAGCTTAATCCAAGTTTTACATCAGACGAGCTTTGAATGTGCAAGCCAAAGACGTTGATGAAGTGCAACGCAACAACATATTTCACACAAGGTGCCACATAAAAAATAAGGTGATGTAAATCTAGGTTTGACTTTAAAGGATTCAATTCAAGTTCCCGTTGGATTAGTTACAAAGGCTCGAGCTAAGAAGTTCAAGGAAGTGCTTAGCGAGCTGATTCAAGAAATATAGACTTAAGTAAATTTATGGAGGCCCATTGAGGGAAGTCCATGTGAGCCTTAGAATTACATCAGCCTAATCCAAGTTTTAGAAGACTTTGTCAAAGCTAAGCCTAATCTTTGCAAGTAATGCTCACATGGACTTTGGGCGTGAACTTAGCAAGCATTTTGGCTCAAATTTATTACTTTCATTTTTTGGTTTTGGCTTGCATGCCAAGTTTTTATTTCTTGGGTTAAATTACATAGTTTGCGTCAAATTTACCGCGGTTGGCCGCAAACTAATATTTCACAATGTTCTTAGGTTATTTGAGCTTATTTTTACATTTATTGTGTTATTTTGGCTAGTTTATTCATCTAGTTGAAGCTCAAATTTTTGGTTATTAAGGTTAGGATCTGGTTTGTTAGTTTCCTATTCTGGTTAGGATTAGTTTTAGCTATTTATAGGGCTGCAAACCTAATTGTAAAATAGATCATTATTCATCAACATTGTGAGAACGAATTCTCTCTGGTTCTTTGAACAACTTTTCAAACTTATCGGAATTATTTGTGGTGTTCATTCTTGACTTATCAATCAACCCTTCCATAGTTAATTGTGGCATCTTTTCCATACCAATGTTCTTACCTCGTCATAGGTAATAGGTTGTGGTTCTATCCGCTTGAACTTGTCTTAGAAACGGTCTTGGTGCCTTGTCTTGTTTACGAGTTTCGTCACAGGTTGGCGTAGTTTGTATCAGTTTGGTATTATAGCACAAGCTCTAAATTAGGTTTGCGTATCTTTAACTTTTAGTTTTTTTTATTATCAAAAAAAAAAATTCAGTGTCGTTCTTGCGCTTCTTGATTGCAACTCTGTTTGTGTTGCTTTTTTAAATTTGTGTTGCTGGTTTACAAAAGAAACAGAGAGGAAAGCATGAAAATAAGAAAAAAAAAAAAAGAAGAAGGAAGAAGTCGTACACAAAAAAGGAAAAAAAAAAAGAAAAAAAATAAAGGAGAGTGACAAAGTAAGCAACACAATTCTGTGGTTGGAATTCCGTATATAGAGAAGAAATCTGTGGCTAAATCTTTAAAGAAGAAGGAATCCTACTCCAATAAGGAGTTGGAAGAAGGAATCCTACTACAATAAGGAGTCGGAAATTCTCCTTGAGTTCTATTCAAATTATGAGATAGCAATTTTGTTTGTTTCTTCTTCCTGAGTTAGTAATCCTACTATCATAAGGATTTGTCAATCCAATTTCTACTAGGAATAGTCAAACTGATCTGTCTTTCTTTTTTTTTTTTATTTATTTATTGTTACATTCCATTGTTCTAATATCCAGGAGTCCTAATCTGACTTTACCCCAAAGTGCAAAATTTTTTTGTCCAAAACTTTCGTGTTTTCTGTAAATCCCAAAATCTAGTTGGTACATGTTCATTACAGTCATCTTTTTAAAACTCAAATTTTGGTTGGTAAGTTTCTGGTGAATTGCTACTTGAAATTTTGAATATTGTTTGTTTAGTTTGAAAAGAACTAAAAGAGAATTCACGAGTGGAAAAGGGCAAGAGTGGTGAGCATATTAGAGGGTAAAAGCCAATTTAGCGAAACACAAGCAAAATTGAGTGATATATATTTTTTTGAGTGAAACACGTGAGGGAGCATGGTGAGGTTCTTTCCATATTATTTCTAACCCCATTTTGTAGATTACAAGCATGTCACTCAACCAAGAAAAAAACTCAAGTGAAGAACTTCCACAACGAACCCTTCTAAACCTACAGGTGTAGGCGATATTGGGAGAGGTGCGACGGATGGTGAATAGGTTAATTGAACCCATGCAAGAGCAATTGGAAACATTGCAATTGAAGAATAGAAGTTAGTAACGAAATTCTCTCGCTTGACCACCACCTAGGCAGATGTAGCAAAGAGAACATTAGGGCAACATAGAAGAAGAAGAGGATTTGGAAGAGTTGAATGAGCCACCATTGAACTGAGGTAGGCTTAGGCATGGGAATGGGAATAGAGAAGTTAGGAATTGGGAGGACAATAGTTTGGGCAGCATCAAGATGAAGATTCAACCATTCTAAGGAAAAGCAGATCCTGAAGCCTATCTTGAGTAGGAAAAGAATGTGGAGTTGGTCTTCAATTGCCACAATTATTCCGAGCTTAAGAAGGTGAGATTGGCAGCCATTGAATTCTCTAACTATGCTCTTGTTTGGTGGGATCAGTTGGTCATGAATAGGTGTCGGAACCGGGAGCATCCCATTGAAACATGGGAAGAGATGAAGGCAGTGATGAGGAAGCGATTTGTGCCTAGCCATTATCACCAGGAATTGTACAAAGAGTTGCAAGGGCTTAGGAAAGGACATCGGAGCGTGGAGGAGTATTATCAAGAGATGGAGAAAGCCATGATTAGAGCCAATGTAGAAGAAGATCGAGAGGCAACCATGGTGAGATTCTTGCAAGGATTGAATCCAAACATCCATGACCGGGTGGAGATGCAACATTATGTGGAGCTAGAAGACAGGGTGCACATGGCCATCATCATAGAGCGACAACTCAAGAAGAGGGGAGGTACGTGTGCTGGCCATAACCTAGGGTCTAATCCTTGGAAACTAAGTTTTTAAAAAAAGGAGGATAAGTTACAAACGTTCTCAACTCTCAAGCACCAACCTGAGCATAAGACTAAGAACACCAGCCGCAAATCTCAAGGTAAATCTGACACTTCTACTACTCAAAATCGTGATAGTAAGTGCTTTAAATGTCAAGGTAGGGGTCACATAATGAGTCAATGTCCAAACAAGCGAGTTATGGTGATGCGAGATAGTGGTGAAATTGTGATCGAAGATGAAGATTCTAACACCGATGAAATGCCACCATTGGAGGGCGGCTATAAGGAGGAGTTTGTTGTACATGGAGATTTGTTGGTGGCAATGAGGGCTTTATGTGTGCAAGAAAAAGATGTGGATGAAGTGCAATGAGAGAACATCTTTCACACTAGGTGCTATGTCAGAGATAAGGTATGCAGTGTGATTATTGATGGTGGTAGTTGTACTAACGTTTCTAGCACAACCATGGTGGGAAAATTAGGATTGCCCACGCTGAGACACCCTACTTCGTACAAGTTACAATGGTTGAATGATAGCGGTGAGGTAAGGGTAAACAAACAGGTGTTAGTTACATTTTCAATCAGAAAATACAAAGATGAGGTGCTTTGCAATGTCGTTCCAATGCATGCTGGGCACTTGTTGTTAGGGCGACCATGGTAGTTTGATCGATGAATCAAGCATGATGGGTTTACCAACAAATACTCTTTTGTACTCAATTAACGTTCAATCACTCTTGTACCTTTAACACTGCAACAGGTGTATAAGGATCAAGTGAGGCTTAAAAAAGAGAGAGATCAAAAAGAAGAGAATGAGCAAAAAAGAGAGAGTGAGAGAAGATAAAAGTGGAAATTTGAGAGAAAAAAAGAGAGAGGCCAAAAAAATTGAGAGGGAAAAAAAGAAAGCAGATTTAGTTTTAGTAGTTTAAGAGAGGAACAACATTGTTTCATTACAAAAAAAAGTGAGATCAAGAGAACTTTACATTTACAATAGCCCCTTATAATACTTTTGTACAAAGAGGCATTTTTTGTGCAGTGATGATCTTGCCGGAAATTTGCCAAGTAGTGTTATCTTTCTTTTGTAGGATTACGAGGATGCATTTCCCAAAGAAACACCACCTAGATTACCTACAATATGAAGGATTGAACATCAAATTGATTTTGTACCTGATGCGACAATTCCAAACTGACAAGCCTACAGGAGCAACCCTGAGGAGACAAAGGAGCTTCAGAGACAAGTAAGTGAATTAATGGAGAAGGGGTACGTGAGGGAAAGCATGAGCCCATGTGCTGATCTTGTTCTACTTGTGCCTAAGAAAGTTGGGACTTAGAGGTTGTATGTTGATTGTTGAGCCATCAACAGCATTATGATAAAGTATCGACATCCTATTCCTCGCTTAGATGACATGTTAGATGAGTTGCATGGTGCTTATGTATTTTGAAAAATTGATTTGAAAAGTGGGTATCATCAAATTCGCATGAAAGAGGGAGATGAATGGAAAACAGCCTTTAAGACAAAACATCAATTGTATGGGTGGTTAGTCCTGCCTTTTGGTTTAACTAATGCACCAAGCACATCATATTTTGTGTGCATTCATAGGCAGGTTTGTTGTTGTTTATTTTGATCATATTCTCATTTATAGCAAAAACCTAGAAGAACATGTCGTGCATTTAAAATTAGTTTCGGATGTGTTTAGAAAGGAAAAGTTATTTGCTAACTTGAAGAAATGCACCTTTTGCACCGATAGGCTTGTATTTCTTGGATTTGTTGTTTGTGCACAAGGAATACAAGTTGGTAAAGAAAAAGTCTGAGCAATTCAAGAATTGCCGAATCCCACAAGTAAAGGTGAAGTACGAAGCTTTCATGGATTTACCAGTTTCTACCAACCATCTTGCATGATTATTGTCTTTACCTAATTTTGACAAAATGTTTGAAATTGAATGTGATGCTTCAAGTGTAGGTATTGGTGCAGTAATCACGCAAGATGGTTGACCAATTGCGTATTTTAGTGAAAAGCTAAGTAGGGCAGCTTTAAACTACCTAACTTATGACAAAGAGTTGTACGCATTGGTTTAGGCATTAAAAATATGGCAGCATTATCTTTGGCCCAAGGAGTTTGTGATACACATTGATCATGAATCATTGAAGCACTTGAAAGGTTAACACAAGTTGAACAAGAGGCATGCGTGATGGATGGAGTTCATCGAGACATTTCTATACGTCATCTGGTATACGCAAGGTAAGGAGAATGTGGTTGCTGATGCATTTTCTCGCAGGTATGCATTAATCTCTATCCTTAATGCAAAATTACTTGGTTTTGAGCACATTAAAGAATTATATCCTTTAGACCAAGATTTTTGTGAGAAGTTTCAAGCTTGTAAGAAAAAGTTGGCTGGTAAGTTTTATAGGCATGATGGTTTCTTGTTTTGGGAAAATGAGTTATGTGTGCCAAATTGTTCTTTACATGATTTGCTAGTTAGGGAATCCCACAGCGGAGGGTTAATGGGACATTTTGGGGTTGCTAAGACCTTAACTATTTTGCAGGAATACTTTTTTTGGCCACACATGAAAAGAGATGTTGAGAGGATTTGTGGTAGATGTGTCACGTGCAGGTAAGCAAAATCTTGAGTGCAACCCCATGATGGCAAAAAGAAAGCTAATTTTGTGAGGTAGATTCATAAGAAGGCAAGACTCAACATTAAGCGAAGAACAGAGCAATATGCAAAGCAAGCCAACAAGGGGTGTTCTAAGTTAGTCTTCGAACTTGGGGATTGGGTTTGGTTGCACATGAGGAAAGAAAGATTCCCAGCAAAAAGGCCTTCCAAATTGCTTCCAAGAGGAGATGGTCGCTTCTAAGAGGAGATGGTCCTTTCCAAGTTTTAGAGCGCATCAACGATAATGCTTACAAACTAGATTTACCAGATGAGTACAATGTTAGTGCCACTTTCAATGTTACTGATTTGAGTCCTTTTGATGTAATAAATGATTTGAGGACAAATCTTTTTCAAGAGAAGGGGAATGATGTAAATCTAGGGTTGACTTTTAAGGATTCAATTCAAGTTCCTGTTGGACCAGTTACGAGGGCTCGAGTTAAGAAGTTCAAGGAAGTGTTTAACGAGCTGATTCAAGAAATATGGACTCGAGTAAATTCATGAGCCTCAAAACTACATCAGCCTAATCCAAGTTATAGAAGACTCTGTCAAAGCCAAGCCTAATCTTTGCAAGTAATGGTCATGAACTTTGGGCATGAACTTAGCAAGCATTCTGGCTCAAATTTATTACTTTCCTTTTTGGGTTTTGGCTTGCATGCCAAGTTTTTCTTTTTTGGGTTGAATTACATAGTTTGCATCAAATCTGTTGTAGTTGGCTGCTGTAGTTGGCTGCAAACTAATATTTCACAATGTTAGGTTATTTTAGCTTATTTTTACATTTATTGTGTTATTTGGGCCAAACATTCATTTAGTTGAAGCCCAAATTCATGGTTATTAGGGTTAGAACCTGGTTTGTTAGTTTCCTATTCTGGTTAGGATTAATTTTAGCTATTTATAGGGCTGCAACCTTAACTGTAAAACAAATCATTATTCATCAACATTGTGAGAACAAATTCTCTCTAGTTCTTTGAACAACTTTTCGAGCTTATAAGAATTATTCGTGGTGTTCATCCTCGACTTATCAATCAACCCTTCCATATTAATTGTGGCGTCTTCTCCATATCAATGTTCTTACGTCGTCATAGGTAACAGGTTGTGGTTCCATCCTCTTAAACTTGTCTTAGAAACGGTCTTAGTGCCTTGTCTTGTTTACGGGTTTCATCACAGGTTGGCATAGTTCGTATCATAAAGTATGTAGTGTGATTATTGATGGTGGTAGTTGTACTAATGCAACTAGCATTGTTTTTTGTTGAAAAGCTTAATTTAATTATGATGAAGTATCCAAGGTCATATAAGCTACAATGGTTAAACGATTGTGGAGAAATCAGGGTAAATAAGCAAGTTCTGGTTTCATTCTCTATTGGACAATATAAGGATGAGGTACTTTGCGACATGGTTCCTATGCATGCTAGACAATTACTTTTGGGGAGACCATGGCAATATGATAGGAGAGTAATACCTGATGGCTTCAAAAATTGCTATTCATTTGTCATGGAAAGGAAAACAATTACTTTTATGCTATTAAGTCCAAGGCAGGTTTATGAGGATCAATTGAGAGTAAAAAAAGAAAGTGAGCTGAGAAAAGAGAATGCGCTTAAGGGTATAAAAAACAAAGAGAAAATAGCAAAAAAGGAGTCCAAAAAGAGAGAAGAGATTGAGAGTGTTAAAAATAAAGAGAGAAAATCAGTGAGTGTTTATGCAAAAGAAAGTGATGTCAAGGTTGCGTTACTTACAAAACAGCTTATGTTTGTGCTTTTGTACAAAGATGTTAATTTCAATGCTAATGAACTTAATGATTCTTTGCTTAGTGTTGTTAAATCTCTTTTGCAGGATTTGAAGGACGTGTTTCCAAAGGACATTCTTAATGGTTTACCACCAATAAAAGGAATCAAGTATCAGATTGACTTTATTCTAGGTGCAACAATTCCAAACCGACTAGCATATTGAAGCAACCCCAATGAGATGATAGAACTTCAAAAGCAGGTTGAAGAACTCATGGAAAAGGGACTTGTGAGAGAAAGCATGACTCTAAGTGCAGTTCTAGTGCTGCTTGTGCCTAAGAAGGATGGAACTTGGCGTATGTTTGTTGATTGTCGTGCAGTCAACAAAATCACTATAAAGTATCATCACCCTATTCCTAGATTAGATGACATGTTAGATGAACTACATCGTTCTTGCATATTCACTAAAATTGATATAAAGAGTGGGTATCATCAGATTAGGATGAAGGAAGGAGATGAATGAAAAACAGCCTTTAAAATGAAACATGGTTTATATGAGTGGTTATTTATGCCATTTGGATTAACTAATGCGTTTAGTACATTCATGTGATTAATTAACCATGTTTTGCATGCTTTCATTGGCAAATTTGTGGTTGTTTATTTTAATGACATTCTGATATATAATAAGAGTTTAACTGATCATATTGAGCATTTGCAGATGGTACTTGAGGTTTTGAGAAAAGAAAAGTTGTTTGCTAACCTTAAAAAGTGTTCTTTTTGTACAAATTAGATTGTCTTTTTAGGGTTTGTTATTGTTTACACCATAAATTGCAAATTTTTAATTAATGCCACGTGTGAAATATTTTTTATTGGTTGAAGGAGATTGAGCCATGTCAGAATCGGATTCTGGGCCTTATGACAGATTAGCACTTGTGTTGGCAAAAGAGGAGAGGTAAAGATAATTTTTTATGGAGTAATTATCTTCTTGAGATAGAAAGGGATAATAGGAGCTGAAAAATAGGAGAAGATTGCAGTTAAAAAGGGGGTTTTATCTAATAAGAGTACAGGTGGCGAAATCTGCAAGGAGATTAGACCAGGTCAAAGGGTGAGTTGTCCCATTATCTCAAGAAACCACCCATGATTGAGTAACTGCAGAAAGTGGAAGTTATTGCCGGCATATGGAAAACAAAAAGGAAATTTTTGGAAGGAAGAAGGGACGGCCAGCCCTACTCAAACATCTGTAATTTTTCAGACTTTATTTTCTCTGCAATCTGCTTCTAGATTTCGAATTTCAACATAGATTCCAGTAGGATTAGGTTGTTTTTCATTATTCCAGTAGGCAAATTAATTCATGTGTTCAGTTTAACAATTTCCTTTCATGCAATGAACTTCAATCTTTCAAGTTTATACAAGGTATTGTTCTCTTTCCATTTGCAATTAATTTAATGTTTATGATAAGTAGCATTTTATTCAATGATTACTTATGTGGTGTTCATACCTCTTTTCAACCTCAAGCATGGTAGTTTAATTACTGTTCACGTTAATTTTAATGTTAATTAGGATGAAGTCTTTAATTCTGCAGCATTTTAATTTTCAGATCTTTCAGTACATAGCCTTTTAGTTTAACAATGAATATGTTTAGTTTAACTTGGGTACAACTTTTTCTCGCAAATTTATTTTAAATTGCAGGTAATTTAGAATAATTAGGATTTGTTAATTTTAAGTCACGGTAGTGTTTAAGTCCTTGGAGTTGTCCAAGGCAAATTTCGTAACCCATTCTGCAGGAAGGTATCCCTCCCTCTTGCAAATCATCTGAAGGCGCAAATTTCATTTTAATCCAACGTTCTTCCCACCATCTGTAAAGAGGTCGACCGTGAGGAAGGAGAGGGTCATTAGGAAAGTCCTCCTTTCTTACTTTTAGCAAAGTAAGTGGCATGCCCGCATCTAGATTTCACATGTGCGAGGCCACTAGAGGATTTTTGGGGAAACAATCCTTTTTTGGCACGCCTGGTGGGACCACACTGCGTCTTACTTACAGTTTTTAGATCCATTGTTCTTTTTTCCAAGAAAAAGTGCAATTATGCCACGAAAAAGAAATGTTGGGAAGGCTGCCCAGACTTTATAGATTGAGCTTGGTGAAGGCAATCCAGCATACTCAAAAGGAGAGAATGAGCCAATCATTCCACCACCATTGTCACCAATACTTGGGGAGCATTCTTTTGTCAATCCTACCTTCAACAAGGATAGTAAATCTGGAGATGATGTTGCTCAATTTGGTGATTCTCTCATGAAAGCTGTGATAGAACAAATTAGCATCATGAGGCACACACTGTTGGAATCTGCGGAGAAAGCTCAACAAAGAAGCCAAGAGGTTACTAGACAGTTGGATGAGTCTTTTCAGAATCTGGCTCAGAATTTGGCCCAAAGTGTAGCTCAAAGTGTGGTTGACATGCGACACTCCAATGAAGAAAGTGTTAGAATCTGGCACGAGCAAAATGCAGAAAATTGGAGAGCTTTCCATTCTGAAACAGAACGAATGTAGGAGGCATTTCGACATGCCAGAATTGAACCTCAGCCACAAGCAACAAATTTTCAAAGGCAGAATCAAAATATTCCAGCTCCAGCACTCGAGGGGCAAGTTAATCTGCCACAGCCACCTCCCCAGATTCAGCAAGTAGCAGGCGGACCAGTGCAGCCAGATCCTGTTGAGGCTGCACCACGTGCAGTAGAACTGGGCAATCACCAATAGCCCAGATATCTGCCACTTCCGCACCGATCGAATGGAGGACACCCACAACATAATGCACCTCCACAAAGGGAGCATTCCCAGCCTTATGTGCCACCCGTGCAGCAAAATCTTCAAAATCTGCCAAGACAGTACATCAATCGTGATCAGATCATCGACATGGTGCAGGAGGCTTATGATCCAGTTTTGAGGCCTCTAGTCAGACCAGCTTATAGAAAACCATATCTAGATGGTTAAATGCTTAATTTGGTCCCTCAACTTTAAGAAATGAACATTTTTGGTCCCTTAACAATTTTTGCACTTTTTTGATCCCTCAACTATACGAAATGCACTCCGTTAGTCCTTTTGTTAATTTGGGCCGTTAACTCTGCTTAGGTGGCATTTTTTATATTTTTTTTGATGATGTGGAGAGCAAAACTTCAAAAAGTGATGACGTGGATAAAACTTTTGCCATGTCAGATGCTACCTGGCAAAAACACACCAAATCCATCCAAATGGGTCCCACATTACCACTAACAATTGCTTCTTTGCCCATCGGAAGTTCAACGTAACCCAGCAAATCTGGGTTCGATGTAATCCAGCAAATAGGTTCCATCGAACCCAGCTCAATTCACTAAACTCAATTGTCCAAAAATCACTCGCAA